AAAAAAAAGGGGGCGGCTTCGCGAAGGGAGTGGAAAGGACGGAAGGAGGAAAAGGCTCACATAGCCGTCCCAGCTCTCGGCTTTCTAAACGCGGGGAAGAGCTGGCCCCCCGGGCCCTGCGGGCTTACGGGAATCGGGAAAGACCACCCTTAAAACCCCCATCCAATTGTTCTTCTAATACCCCTTTTTACATTAAAAAAAAAAAAAAAAAAACGAGATCAACTGTGTTATATATATAAATATATATATATATATTTTGCCACCACGCACTACTAGGTGAAATTGCTTTTCATGTCAGAAGAAAAAAAAAAGCTCTTCAAAGCTAAAAAGAAAAAAAAGAGGGGGAGAAACATTTATATTTAAAACATATGATAGTGTTTGCTTAATTTAAAACAGATAGTCCTTAAATTTGTGTGATCCAGTGAGACTAGATCTAAGTTTACTTTAGACAGAGCGTCAGGTATGAAGTCAGGCGGTAGAATTGTAAAAAAAAAAAAAATTATTAATAATACTAATAATAATAACTAAAAAATGCTGGTAATTTAAATATGTTTTCACAATGTCTTGGGGGAAAAACAAATTGTATCTGGCAGGATTTTACCTCGCTAAATCTTTTCATTTGTTGAACAAAGACGTTTTGAATAAAGACAATCTGTCGTTAAACGAGGCAGCTACGTGGTGTAAATGCCGTGCCCGGCTTTATGAGCCCCTCCTCACCTCGCTCACCGGCACTACGGGGCAGCTGGGCGCCTCGGCGGGGCGTACAGGACCGGGCCAGGTCCTTTCCTGACGGTACGCATCGGGCCAGGCCGAGTCCTTCCCTGAGGGGACGCACCAGGCAGGACCTTGTCCCGATGGGACGCACCGAAGGCGGTCGAATCCTTCCCTGATGGGGCGTACGGGGCTGGATTCGGCCTTTCGTCGCCGTTACCACCCCGGCCTCCCTGACAGGGCTCTCTCTTTGAAGCTGCGGATAGGAGCTTGGCGCCGGGGAAACCCGGCTGCGCTTTTCCAGGTTAGGAAAACAAAAACTTCCCAAAAGCGCAGAGGGAATCCGGCTTGTGTCCGGGCGGGCAAGGAAGGACCGGGGACTACCGCGGCAAGAGCCGAGGGTGCCCCCAACGCGTGTCTCCTCCTCGTCGGGAAATCGGCATCTCCGAAGTTGCCTCCGTGATGTGGAAGTTGATACACTTGTGCAGCGGGAGATTAATATAAGGAGTCTTTTTTTTTTTTTTTTTTTTTTTTTTTGGTCGGCTTGTCCCGACAATTACTAGTGCTTGGTGCGCCACAGGCACTGTTTTGGGACGCGTTCCCTTTGTGGAAGGAGGGAGGGAGCCTCATGGAAGAAGACGGACGCGGTGGACAGTGAGGGAGGCAAGAAGGAAGGTCCGACTGGAGGAGCTAAATAGCCGGAGTGAGGCGTGTTTGGATGTGCTTTGCTCATTAAGTGCTCTTTGGAGACCGCTGGTAGAATTAAACGGCATAACACAATTAACATACACGACGCTTGAATAGGAGGGTAAGCGGCGGCAGAATGGCACGCTAAATAAATGAGAGATCAGGCGAAGGTAAACAAAAGGCGAGGGGAGAAAAGGGCTCAAAGGAGAGGTTAGCCCGGCTGCTCCAGTATCGCTTAGCACGACAAAAAATAATAATAATAATAAGCGGCTCTCGGAGGCACGGGCTCCGGCTGGGTCGCTCCGCTGGGACGCGGGGCCGGCGCTGATGTAAGCCCAGCTGACAGTCGCTGTCAGCAGCGGTGGTAGCGACGATATCTCACTGTCCCTTCGCATCCACCGCGATTAGGTTGACAGCGGTCGGAGGTAGCGCCGGGGTTGGCGGGGGCGGTTGGGAAGCGCTTGCTCGACGGCCCCTGCAAGGAGCAGGGCGGGCACAGGGGCGGTGGTGGGAATGGGGTAGCGGGACATCGCACACACCCCCTTTTCCCGCCCTTGYCCAGCTGCCCCCTCCAGCTCACTGGGACCGTCCGGGCAAGCGCCGCTCCGAGGGTGCGCCCGGCGGAGCCCCAGCRGAGCCTGGGGCTGCTCCGGGAAGGAGCGGAAGCGGGGAGAGGAGAAAGTGTCCGGAGGCAAAACCAGGCGGGCACGAAGCGATAGGGCTGGAAACTTTTGCTGGGAATCTTTCTCCTTTTTTTTCCACCCTTTCCTACATTCTTTTTCTTTTCTTTAATTTTTCCTTCTTTATTTTTTCCTCATTTCTTTCTTTCCTCCTTGTTCTTTCTGTCTCTCTTCGTTTCTGATTATATTTTTCTCCTTTCCACCTCTTTATTTCCTTTCTTTCTGGCTCCTTCTGCCTCCTGCCCCTTTCCTTCACGTTTCCCTTTCTCCCTCTCTCCTTCTGTCTTCCTCCTTCTCTTTTTTTTTTCCTTCCTTTTTCCCCTCTTTCACTGCCTCTTTCCTTGCTCCCTTGCCCCGCTTGCCCAACCGGATCTTCCCACTGCGGCCTCTGCTCTCCGGGGGCTCCGTATCCACGCTCCCGCCGTGCTGCAGGTGTGTAGTGGTTATACTCTCGGGGAAGATAAATAAATTAAATAATGAACTTGACACTGCAATGAACCGATCGCTGACTTTGATGTCAAAGGGAGACAAAGAAAAGAAAAGAAAAGAAAAGAAAAGAAAAGAAAAGAAAAGAAAAGAAAAGAAAGAAAGAAAGAAAGAAAGAAAGAAAGAAAGAAAGAAAGAAAGAAAGAAAGAAAGAAAGAAAGAAAGAAAGAAAGAAAGAAAGAAAGAAA